AGTGTTTTCACGTTTCAAAGAGAGGCAAAGCGTCCTGCTTTTAGAAGAAGAATCACCCCGTTGCGATTGTAATCACTTACTGGGGAGTTCTTCGGGGGACCCCAAGTTTAAAGAGTTGTCCGTCGCGTTCAGAGCGATCCCATTGATCGGAGAGCCGCAGTCGGCTACAAGGCCCAGGCAAGTCGATCGACCGCAATCCCAAAGGCGAGCCGTGCCATCCCTTGAGCTGGAAACCACGTTTCTGCCCCGCTCCACAATGGCCACGTCCAGGATGCCTGCGGCATCATAAAAAGGGAAATATTTAGTCGCCGGTTGTTCCAGCTCCGTTGCCGCAGCTCTGCCACACACCCAGTGACGGGATTCAACATTTTTGACTAAGGGGTTCTGTGGGCGTGGCTTGGTGGGTGTGGTGTGGCTTGGCGGGCGTGGCAGGGGAAGGTTACTGCAAAATCCCCATTTCCTCCCCCACCCCACTAACCTGCTTTCCAGCTCCGTTCTCCCGTACAGGGCGACCAAAGAAGACCCAGAGAAGAAAGGAAGGAAGGAAAGAAGGGAGGAGGGAGGGAGAACAGGAAGGGAGGGGGATGAAAGGAAGGAAGGAGAGGAGGGAGGGATGGAGAGATGGAAGGGAGGAAGGGGAGGAGTGAGGGAGAGAAGGAAGGAAGGAAGGAAGGAAGGAAGGAAGGAAGGAAGGAAGGAAGGAAGGAGGGAGGAAGGAAGGAAGGAAGGAAGGAGAGGGAGGGAAGGAGAGAGAGAAGAAAGGAAGGTAGGAAAGAAGGGAGGGGGATGAAAGGAAGGAGAGGAGGGATGGAGAGATGGAAGGGAGGAGTGAGGGAGAGAAGGAAGGAAGGAGAGGGAGGGAAGGAAGAAAGCAAGGAAGGGAGGGGGGAAGGGAGGGAGAGAGGGAGGGAAGGAAGAAGAAAGAGAGAAGGAAGGAAGGAAAGAAGGGAGGAGGGGGGAGAAAAAGGAGGGAGGGAGGGGGAAGGAAGGAGAGGATGAAGGGATGGAGAGATGGATGGATGGAGGGAGGGAGGGAAGGAAGGAAGGAGCGATCCGGGGGGCATAGTGGTTAAGAGTGCAGTATTGCAAGCTAAGTCTGCCCACTGTTAACTGTCAACAGTTCGATCCTGACCGGCTCAAGGTGGACTTCCGAGGTGGGTCAAATGAGGACCCAGATTTTTCGGGGGGGCAAGAGGCTGATTCTGTCAGACGGCTGGAACGTCTTAAGTGATATTGCTAACTCCAGTGCTCGCGTCTCGCTACCTGCTTTGTGTCCTTGAAACGTTGCGACGCATCTGCCGTCTTCCGCCGACCAGATCTTCAGCCTGGCGTCCATCCCTCCGCTCAGCACCACGATGCCCGATGGGAAAAACCGGCAACAATTCACATCGTATACGTGACCTTCCAAATTCCTCTGCAAAGACCACGAACGGGGCGCCGGTCACTTGACTGACAGACGGCGGTGCTTGCTAATTCATGCCAGGATTTATACCGGCAACATTCACATAAACAAGGTGGTCGTTAAATCAGTCAGCTGGCTGGGGAATTCTGGAAATGGAAGTCCTTCTCTCTTATAGGGGCTGAGGTGGAGAAACCCTTGGCCTCGATCATACCGTCATGCCCCTGGTGGAGACTGACTCCAAGGGAGAGGAGGAACAGCCGACAGGGAGTGGAAATGTGGTTGTGGAGGTTGTGGAGGAGGCTGGGGAAGGGCAGAGGCCGGCTGGGCAGTCAGAGGAAGACCCAGGCCCATCCCCTCTCCATCCTAGGGCATGCAGGGAGGAGCGGATAATGGAGAAACGTGAATGGTGTGGTCTGCGGGGAAGGAAGGGGCCCTGATCCCCTTTATGGGCTGCAGCTGTGAGGACTGAATAAGAGTTTGGACCTGCGTACTGGCAAACGCTGGAGACAAAGCGTGTTTTGTTTTGTTCTGAGGTTATCTTGGCCGGCGTCCTTCCAACAGACCGTCTGCCTTGTTATCTCCTTGAATTTGGTAATTATTTATCCTGTTTCCGTTGTGGAAATTGTAGTTTGTTTTAGTTTTGTATTTCACCTCTATTTGCTCATTAAGTTCGGACTGTATTGCTTTCTTTTGAAGGCTATTTTTGAGTACGTTTTACCCCCAGCTGAGAATTGTTGAACAGTGGGGCCAAGTTGGAGGCGTTAAAGGACCTTTATGTGCGTTTCGGATTTTTGTTACGTGTGCGTTACCCTCTGGGTCATCGCACATACTTACTCTGATTTCCCCGTTAGCGGCTTGCCAAATTTTCATGCTGCCATCAGCGCTGGTGGATACCCCAAGCCCACCTCCGTTCGAAATATCAAGACAGGTGATCTACAATTAAGAGAGAGAACGAGAGAAAAATAAAATATTCTCCAAAGAACCAGAAGGCAGGACGAGAAGCAACGGGTGGAAACTCACAAAGGAGGGAAACAGCCTGGAACTTAGGAGGAATTTAGAACAATTAACCAGAAGTTGTCAATGCTCCAACACTGGAATTTTTTAAAAAGATGTTGGATAACCCTTTGTCTGAAGTGGTGTAGGGTTTCCTTCTGCCCAGGCAGGGGGTTAGACTAGAAGACCTCCAAGGTCCCTTCCAGCTCTATTCTGAACTGAACTGAATTGGGTATATCTAGTCTGGTGAAAAGAAGGTGACTTGTGGTTAGCCGGCAGCAGGTGCAGACAGCTGAGTAGAGCAAGGAGTCAGGTGAGGGGCCAGGACCATCAGGGAGTGGACTGCTGCCTTCAGAGATTGTGGGGGCTGGCAGCAGCGACGAGGAGGTTCCCGAGGAGCCTGTGCCAAGTGCGCGTGCGCACAGGGCTCCTCGTAGGAAAGAGCAGCTGCAACATCACGGGCAACTCGGGAGTAAGGCTGCAAGGTAATGGCTCCTCCTTCAAGAAAATAAAAGCCAGCTGTGAAACGAACGTCCTTTGCAGAAGGCAAAGACGTTTTGAAACTCAGCCTCGTGGACATTCTAGTATCCTGAGTTTCTATTTGAAGATTCTTCTTTTGCAAATTATTTCTTGTCTGGTATCTTTTGGCAAGTCTCGCACGGTTTGGCGAGGTTTGTGCTTATCACAGCTAATTATTTTGTAAAAGCATTACAAGGTTTCTGTTCCTTTTGGGTTGTGTTTGATTTGTCGGAAAAGGGCGTGGGCCAGAACAGTGACATGAGAGCAGTCTCCCAATATTTGACGGGCTGCCACAAAGAAGAGGTCAACCATTCCGCAAAGCTCCTGAAGGCAGGAGAAGAAGCAACGGATGGAAACTCATCAAGGAGAGAAGCAACCTAGAACTAAGGAGAAACGTCCTAACAGTGAGGACAATTAACCGCCGGAACTGCTTGTCACCAGAAGTTGTGAGTGCTCCATCCGTGAAGGTTTTTAAGAGACTGGACAGCCACTTGTCTGAAATCATGTAAGGTCAGAGCTGAAGAAGCTTCTTGGATGAGAAGCGAAATGTCTTCAAAGAAAAAACAAGGAAGTCTTGTTGCCTCTTGAAAAAGCACCTCTGGGACAATCACGACCTGGAGGACTGGGAATCTCTAAGTCAAGCTCAAAATTGACATCGGTGTAGCCATTTTATTTAACCTTATTATACATTCCTTTCTCTTTGCTGGTTACGGGGGGGGAAGGGTTTCTGGCTTGCTAACATTCCTAAGGTGGGAGGAATGGAGATAGAGAGAGTTGTTGAGGCTAGGTGGTTCTTCTTCCCGTGGGAACGAAAGCTGACCCTGCTGAGACCTGGCGGTGGAGATTGAGGACACCGGGCCAACGTTGATCGACTTCTATTGAGGAACGTGGCTTTTAGGGGTTTGTTTCTAACTTCCAATATTACGTGGTGTAATTTCCGGGTTGGGTCAGATCCGGAATGACAACAGACTTTGGCCAATTCGATGCTTTACCTAAATAAAAGGAATTGTTTTGGAAGACGGGCTTGGCTCTTTTCTTTTTGAAGTGGATTTCGTCCCTTGGAAACCTGACACTCTACAGATTTTAAAGAAGAGATTGGACAAGTCCATTTGTCTGAAATCATAGCCTGTTTGAGCCGGACTAGAAGACCTCTTAAGATCCCTTCCGACTCTGTTATTCTGTTTAAGGAAAAGGAGGAGGAGGAGTGACATGAGAGCAGCCTTCCAATATTTGAGGAGCTGCCACAGAGAAGAGGGGGAGTCAAATTATCCTCCAAAGCATCGGAAGGCGGAACAAGAAGCAACGGATGGGAACTCATCAACGAGAGAAGCAACCTGCAAACAAGGAGAAACCACCTAACAGTGAGGACAATTAACCAGTGGAACAGCTTGACACCAGAAGCTGTGGGTGATCCATCACTGGAGGTTTTGAAGAAGACACTGGGACGGCCATTTGTCTGAAATGCTACAGGGTTTCCTGCCTAAGCAGGGGGTTGGACTAGAAGACCTCCAAGGTCCCTTCCAATTGTGTTATTGTGTTCATTTATTTTAATCTGAGGGGGAGGGAGGTTTTATGGAGATAGGACAGCGCCGCTCAGGCTTGGGACGGTAGGAAGCGTGAGAAAATGACTCAGAACAGCCCTATCTTAAGACATAAGACATAAGAATTTATTTGTCATTACACTCGCAAGCGGGTGCAACGAAATGAGGTGCTCT